TTATTTTTGCCTTGAAGTGCTCGCACATGTTGGCGTGTTTAGTAAGGTCAGTGACCTAAGGTAAACCTACATCCCTGACTCTACGGACTAGAAGCGCATTAAAAAGGACTTAGTGGTCAGAATTCCATCTGCCATAGACAGTCGTTCTGACTGAACTTCGGACTGTCGAGCACTGAGGGCACTGGTCGGTTTTACTGACAAAGCTGGACAGGTTTTCGAATATGTGTTTTGCTCAAGTAAGAAGTATCCATTTACCAGCTTTCGACTGCTGTCACAAGTAGAGGGGTGAGACAGAGAGAGAGAGAGAGAGAGAGTGCTGGCAACAGCAACTGTGGTTTTGTCCCGTTCAGAACAAATGTCACAAATAAGTCACAATAAGGTAGTATACTTGGGGGGAACAGCCTGTCTAACTTCAGGACTTCTTGTACTGAAATCTCTACCTGAGATTCCAAATGACTCATCGGTACGGATACGTGTGCAATGTCCCAAGCCGAAACGATGCCCTGTGTCGGATGCATGGAACAGCGTTGTGTCACCTTCTTGGCCTTCGTCCAGCCCACACTGGCAGATAGTTAAGGGAGCTGCATAGAATGGCTTTCATCTCCACCAACCCTTTTGATCCTCATCATAATTTTGCATGTCGGTTGTCTCGTCCACTCACCTTGTTTTCAACTAATGGTGAGATAGTCTTCCTCCGCAGTCGATTTTGCCGAAACACCACTTCAGTGGTCTGCTTGGAAGGCAGTGTCCGCCAGTCCTTCAGGTAGGGCAAATTTCTGCACGAAATAAAAAATCAAGGAGTGCTCTGCTTCGATCTCTAAAGGCTGCAGTTGTATCGCTCAGTTGATATTTGGTTTGAGACTTTTATATCAACCGGAAACATTATAAACCGAACGCACTTTCATCTACGTCTGTTGTCAGTTTTCGTTTGTTCCCAGTGAATAGTCCTGCAGGTATACCATTTTCTTTGTTGGATTATGCAAATTTTGTTATTTTTAAAATTGTACAGGATTGTGAGTTGATGGCGATCTGTACTTTTAAAATAAGGTATCGCGATGCACCATGACTATCCCAGTCTTTGACCGAAACTATTTTTTTTTCAAATAAGAGCTCTCCGTCGTCATTCCATTCCTACATGATTTATTGTTTCACTATTTAAACACATGTCTAAGTAGCGATTGCACCTAGGCGAGTTGAATTTTCCTCCTTTGTCAACCAAGGAGCAGCAAACATGTGTCTCATTTTCGTAAATGAGAGAACATCCACGGCTACTTCTCACAGAGGCTTATAAGCCTGAAGTTACTAAACAAAACAGTCAGGAAACCAGCAAAGGCTTATGCTTCAGTTAATGCGTCATTTATAACTCGCATTTCAAAAAGGAATCAGTAAACTTGCCGATGGCAATCAAATTCGACTCCACCTGAGGCACTGTTTACGAACTATCCACCGTTGCTGCCCCAAGAGGCATTTATTCTGAGGACAGGAGGTTGCCTGAGGTTAATGACCATTGTTCAGTAGCTGACGCTGATTGGGAGGGGGTAATAACCACCTCCGCCTGTCCTGCCATATCAACCAGTGTTTTCTGGACCTAAAGCGAAAAAAGCGCCTAATTTGGCAGTGCCTATCACAAGGTTCAGAGATTTTCTCTGCCCCTGCAGCTGAAAACTGTCAAACTGTCTTTACTGGAATGCTATTGTCTTGTTTTTTAGCTAACTTTAATCGGACCCACGGGAAACCCTCTCCTATCGCCTCCGTGCAAACGAACAGCCCTTACGCGAAGCATGATAAGTGGGAACAGTGCGCACAGAACTTTTAAGTAACGGAGGAAGAAATGCTAGTAAAATAGTATCGAAAAACATAAGGGTGAATATCGTACGAGAGGCAGAAAGATTTAAAAACATAATATATGTCGAGAAAAGTAGGTAGGCTGCTTACTAACTAATGTCAACAAGAGCTCTTCAGAGCCTTCTTGAAAAGCTAATCACTCATCCTGTTTCAACAGAAAATACATGTCCGTACGTTAGCGCATACACAGTCGCTTGGCTGAAGTAACAGTTTCATTTATGTGAGGACGTTCATTAGTGCCTGTCCTCGAATCCACAAAACGGAAAAAGAGCGTTACGTCATAGGGCGCAAAGTGCACGCGCGCGGCTTGTTCTTGCATTTGACTGGATGGAGCAGTTGTCGTAAGCATAGTAAAAAAACACAGGAGAGGAATTTGTGATCGCGATCTGCATAGGTCCACAGCAACTGCATAATTTAATCAAAAAATAATCGCATTGACGACATTTGCAAGCGCGCTTGTGAACAAAAAGTTCACACTTGTATCATCTTAATTCTAAAAACTCAGAAGCGAAAGGGCCAATTGAGAAGACCAATCCTGTCAGCAAGTCGAAGAAAAATGTAAAATCCAAATTTTACTTAAATTTCAGGCAGCTCCTCTAAACACATAGGAGAGTGGGGATCTAAAAGTACTTCATGATTTAAGATGAATTGCTTCCATCAGCAGTATAGCCATCTTTTGTGCTTTCAAAGGTCCCTTTATCGTTTCAAAAGGTAAGCAGCTGTTGATGCTGCTAAAAAACCCAAGATTCTATATTCTTATTACAGCAATTATCTCGCGGTCTTGCTGTATTTAGGATTGCTATTTATGGCATAAGTTTCAAAGCTTGAATTATCTATGGAATTACAGGGTTATGTGGCCAAATTGTGCACACTAAAGTACCGGGAATGACAAATGATGGACGAGCGCTAAGCCACAATTAAACTTTAGAGTACCTCCTTTGCGTCGGTATATTCCTATACCACATATCGACCTTATTCGATATGCCTCAGTTTTCATTTGTGCCAGATTGTGTACCCTTAAAAGCCGACTTTGCATAAATCCTCTTGCTGGGAGGGCCGACCTATCACAAACTCGAAGAAGTCCGCTTGCGTACTATTGCAAGATGTGCTTTTACCGTCATGCCCCACGATGTCCATCGTGCGCTTCACAACAAGGCGGAGCAGGGACGGTGACTTGTGCGCGAGTTAGTTTATAGTGGTAGTAGGCTTTGCACAACATCTACCGCACTCTCTCCTCCCACACCTGGGCGCGGTGTCAAGACAGAGTCAGGAAGATCGGGGGCGGGAGAGGGTTCATGCGGCTGGCACGACAGGACCCGCACCTACGCGTACTACCACACCCTCTGATCCACAATTAACACTTGACCAGAACTTTAACCAATAACAACAGAATAACGGGTCAGAAAGAGGAGCATGATTGGACGGCCACACTCACGGCCTGTATACCAAACGGGAGCGCAAGCGCATCTACCGGCTGGAAGCCAGGTGCCAGAGAACCGCCAGCGCCTACAGACGCGTACAGAACCCTAGGCCCAAAAGAGTGAGACACAGCCCTACACTTAGCCGGGGCCATCACTCTTCAAGGGCTGGCTAACAAGCCAGAAATCGACCAAGAGACTATCTATAAAGCATGCACACACAATCCTCAGATGCGTGAGAATGCCAGAGGTCACGTTAAGAAGGAGCCGTGGCAGCCTGACACCCAGCTCATCAGTCCCCTACTCCACACAAAACACATGATAACACCAGAGAGAAACTCCAGAGTGGGAATGCCACGGATGGCACATTGAGAAGTAGCCATCGCAGCCTAACTCTCAGTTCACCAGTCGGCCACTCCACACAAACACATACCGGGTTGACTGCTAGATCTGAATTATTCCGTCAGTCGGCAACCTTCCAAGTCATGGCTTTTAACGCGCCATGATATCTTTAAGCGCTTCGCATTGTTTATAGTGAGAAAAATACGCTGATTCGTCGAGCTCACTTCCTATTGCTACTCCCAGGTCCCAACCACTGTCCAAGCAGGTCAGTCGTTTGGTAGCGAGAATGGGCACAGCGGCTGACGTAGCTGGTGGCCCCGTCTGCGTATGGCAGATGCATGACCTGACCTCCCCCCCCCCCCAAAAAAAAATACAAGCACGGGCATCTCACACCCAAGGGGGTGGGCGACATGGGTTTCCCATGCGTGAGAGTACCACAAAACTGGGTTGACTGCCTGGACTGATTTGGGGCATCTGTCGGCAGTCTTCCAGACCACGGCACTTGGAGTACCGTGATAGACTCAGGCTCGGATCACACATGTAGCAGAGGAGCCGCATGGAGGAGGGGACGAGAAGCATACTTCGCACTTAAGTGAGAGGTGTCAATCTAGTGTTTGCGTTGAGTGGTGTTGTTGCGTGGTGCCGGTGCTGATGGGGGAATGTGTGATGGTGTGTTATAGCCGGCGGTTGTCTACCGAAGGTGTTCATGAATGCACATATGACCTAATGGGCCCTTGCGATGAGTGGATGTTCGGGTGCGGTGAGGGCAGTTGGGACGGATGCGGCGAGTATAGATTGGTGCTCCAGGCACTGGCTCGTCAGTCTCTGTGCGATGAGTTCACAAGTGACCAATCAGGCTGATGTGTGAGGTGAATGTGCGATCGCGATGAAAACAGGTTGGGACCGAGTCCACGTAACTGTAGATGGGGTGGTGTTATGCTAATTGTGATGAGACGTCGGGAGTCGTTCCACCAGTGGGCAGAGTGCGCAGTGCTGGTGGCTGTGGTCGACGCAGGTGTTGAGGGAGGACGGATGATTTCGATGATTGATAGCGGTGGGGCAACGTCAGTGTGATCGTCGGTGGCGGGGATGAGCGTCGTCGCGGGGTTTGAGGCACAGGCGAGTGTGGAGGGATTTGACGCTGCCAGGTTGTTGGTGCATTGGGTCTAAAGGTGTCCTAGGAGCGGATTCGCCCGCAGAATGTGCGTTGGCAGCTCATGCATGTCGGAAACTGCTGACTGTTGGCATTGAGGAGTCCGGGGAGCTTGTGACTTGCAAACCTCCTCTTTGGCTTTGGCGACAACGATCTGATCGTCTCCGTAGATTGCTGCACCGATTTTCATTTCTTTTGTCCAGGCCGGTTTGTTCTGGGCGAGGTCCTCGCAGGTCTTTTGGCTGATCTGCAGTAGTTTCAGAGAGTTCTTCGAAGTGTCCTTGTTGAGCCGTTTTTGCCCACCTTTTCGACAAGTACCCGTGGCAACATATCCATAGAAGAGGTGTTTGGACAGTCGCTCGTCGTCCATCCTCGCGAGGTGGTCGCCCTGACGCAGTTCTAGTTGTCTCAGCATGGTGTTGGTTTTGAGGATTCCCGTCCGTACTAGTACTTCCGTGTCCAGATCCGGTCCTACCATCTCAGCTTTAGTATTCTGCGAAGGCAGCTGAGATGGAAGTGGCTAAGATTCCTGACATGACTGGGGTAGACGGTCCAGGTCTCCGCTCCTTGTAGAAACCTCCTCAAAACGACGGTTTTGTTCATCTTCGGTTTGGCGTTCATTTTAAGGGCGTGGTGATTCCACACGGAGTTCTTCAGCCGGCTGAAGGCTTGGCTGGCTTTGGAGAGCCGACGACGAAAGCTGTACTGGCTATCCGGCAGGAGGCCCTCTTCCAGATGGCTTTTGAGGCGACTGGGAAGAACGCGAGTGAAGATTTCTCCGGCGATGTTGAGAAGCGAACTTACACTGTGGTTGTCGCAGAGCTGGAAATTGTCTTTCCGCTTATGGAGGTGGACGATTGTGACGTCCTTGAAATCCTGAGGGACTTGTCCTTGGCGCCACATCTCCTGGAAGATCGCTGTGAAGTGATTCATGAATTGGTGGCCGCCATGCTTGCAAATCTCAGCAGGGATCGCGTCTGATCCAGGTGCTTTCCTGCCAGCGAGATGCTGCACGGCCCTGATGGGCGGGAGAGGGCGGGAGGTCGGGATCGGCGTTGATCTCCACTTGAGGCAGTCGGCGATGGTGCACTATAGCCGGCAGTGGACGGCCCTGAGAACATCTCTTTTTATCCTTGAGTTCGTTCTGGCCCTCACAACGAGCTGCCTTGGACCAAAACGAGAGCCAGATGGGTTCAGAGCACGCGTTAATCGGGTCACGCAGAATCCGAACGGGTCCAGACTGC